CTTCATCCTCGTGGGCACTCAGCACCCTACCCTGTGGCTTTACGACATCAACACCTTCCAGTGCTTCGTCTCCTGCAATCCTCAGGATCAGCACACAGACGCCATCTGTTCCTTTAACTACAACCCCAGTGCCAACATGTATGTGACCGGCAGCAAGGATGGCTGCATCAAGATGTGGGAAGGCGTTTCCAACTGCTGCATCACCATCTTCGAGAAGGCGCACGACGGCGCCCAGGTGTGCTCCGCCATCTTTTCCAAAAACTCCAAGTACATCCTGTCAAGTGGAAAAGACTCTGTAGCCAAACTCTGGGAAATCTGCACCGGCCACACGCTGGTCAGATACACAGGTAGGTGATCCTGGGCCAACAGGATCTGCGGGGCGCCCTGGTGATCCTGTGAGGTTCACGTAAGAGGGCGTGGCAGTCTGGGGGTTCGCAGGCTCAGCTCAGACCACACTTACAGGACACAGAGCTGACGGTAAAGCTGGAGTTTCCTACCCTCGGTCTTTGCAGTCAGTACTTCACAGCACAGTGCGGGCAGGATTCCATGGAAGTGGCACACCTGTAATCTGACAGGCCTGCCCACCTCCCACTAAGCTGTGAACGCGGTCATTTCATGCAGTTCAGGAAGTCTGCGGGTTGTGCAAAGTGAAGCCAAAAAGGAACGTCGTGGTCCGTTTCTAAAAGGGCAGAGGTAAGGGGAGCTCTGGTGGCCTAGTGGCAAGAAGCTGCAACTATAATCCCAGAGGCACACGGTTCGAATCCACCAGATGCTCTGCCGGCGAAGGAAGGACAATCTCCTCCTGTACCAGTCAGATCTGATTTGACGGTATACACACAAACACACACAAATAATAAAATAAAATTTAAAAAGCTATTCTTAAAAAAAAAAAAAAAAAGGGCAGAGGTAGACCCCAAATCAAGATCCTGTCAGACAGAAGACCTCTGTCAACTGTGTTGTTGACTCGGGTTGATGTTGCTCTCGTGAGAAAAGCCTGCACTTTCTTTTTCTGAGAAGATGTGTTTGCTTTCACTGTCTCGCAGTCTCTGCTCAGCTCCAGGTGTTTGGTAATGAGTTGCTGAAAAGATCCTGCTGCCTTACTCTGTTCCTCACAGTAGCAAAGACTGGTATTAAGTGTTAAAAACAGCCTACAGGGAGCTGCAGCATTTCCTCTGATGTAGGATGTTTGTGTCATACACTAAAGTCACTGGCACTGCCCCTCGGGACATGCAGAGGAACAGCACAGATTGAGAAGGCATCTGCTCTGCCCCCGACCCCCGTTAATAGCCAGCAGCTGACCCCGTTAATGAGGAAATTGAGGAAGAAAGCAGGAAGGCTGTGCGTTGCAGCCACTTAAGGTGCAACGTAGCCCATCCTGAGTTCGTCTTGGCTCCAGAACCCTCCGTGGCTTCAGCATTGATAGTCCAGCTACCAAGGCTTAATGAAGAGCCATTTTTGTCCTGCTTCTTTGTGACTTCATGGAAATACTTTTATATGTACCCTTTTTTCTGGTCATTTTACTTATTACTAGTAAAGGATTCTGTGCTCACTGCAAAAAAAAAAAAGTTAATAATAATAAAATGGAACGCTGGTGGCCTAGTGGCAAGAAAGTGCACTGTTATCCCGAAGGCACGTGGTTCAAATCTACCAGAAGCTCCAGGCAATATCCTCCTATGCCAGTCAGATCCGTTTCGACAGTATACAGCAACAAAATTTTAAAATTTTTTTAAAAAAAGAAAAAAGCGTGACAAGAAGAAAAACCAAAGAAGTGATGATACCTTTGAATTTTGGTGTTGGTAAGGAATCCTGACTATGCCACAGACTGCAGAGGAACCTACAAATCTGTGTGGAAATGCTCTGTAGAAGTAAGGATGGCTAAGACGTCATCTTATGGACATTTACTAGGAGGGGCCAAGCCTAGAGAAACACATCGTGTTTGGTAAAGTAGATGGTCAGGGGTAAATAGGAAGACTCACAACAAGACAGACCGACTAACACAACGCCTGCACCAGTGAGCTCAAAGCAATGATTTTTGGGAGACTGCGGCATGGGGGGACGCTTCATTTCATCGTGCGTGGGTTTGCGGGGAGTTGGAACCAACCTGAGGGTACCTGACGGGAAAAAGGAATGACAATGGAAATCCTAGGCCGTGCATGGTTGTGTGGCAATAACAATAATCAAACAAGGAGGGGCAGGTGGCCAGTAAGTTCATGGAGTTATTCATTTGGGGGTTCAGGATCGTGGTCTTGAGGGACAATCCAGTCAAGTGACATAATATGGTTGGTTGTGTTCTGTTTCCCAGTATGATAAGCAATCAGTCATCTATAATACAGATCTTGGTCTTTGTACACGTGGGGGGGGGGGAAGGAGGAAAACAAAAAATCAGAAGAGAAATTGAGACTAGTTGTTCACGTGAACCACTGCACGATGGTATCGGGTTAACATTCCTGAATGTTTTGATAAGGCACATGACAGACGGATTCTGAGAAAAAGAGCAAGATGAACTGGATCTATGGAGGCGGGAAGAATCTCAAACCAAAGACTCTGAATAGAAACTTCAAATCAATTCAATTGAAGCTCTTCAAGCTCTGAATCGAAACTATCCCTGATGGTCAATTTCAAACTAAGTAACAGTTTGATCAATAGGGTAAATCTTATCACACCTGAGTATTGCTTAGACTAGGGAGGAGTTGAGGAGAGAGGTCAGGCAGGGAAATGAAGTGAAACAACTCAAACTGAAATAACAAAACGTTGACGCAGTGTGAAGAATGGAGTCAGTGTCACTGCTCATTATACCTTGATACTGAGGAATGGAAGTAGATTTTGCTGTTTATATTCTCATAAAAAATAAAATTGATGACAATACCCCAAAGACTATACATTAAGTGCAGTGTAAGACCATGAAATACAAATATTCATAGTATAAGAAAGCCGGAGGAAACAGATCAAAATATCAACAGTGTCTTTGCAGAAGCGCTCCATTGTTTGGGTTTTGCACCATGAGCTAATTGCCAATATTTCTGTGTTTTTAAAGAAAAATTAAGTGCTTCATTTAAAAGTTTATTTTAAAAGTTATTCAAACACCCCCTAACATAGCAATCACTTGTTCTGCGAAATAACATGACGTAACGATACTATTAAAAGTCAAGAAATATTTATTGAGCACCTGTATCATGGGGAGATTGAAGATCACAGAGAAGTACCAGGTGTGGTCCCTGCCCGAGAGGGTTACAGTTTTAGGGGAAGAGACTGTAGTGGGCCAAATGGGTGTCAGGAGAAAACCGTCTAGGCCAGGATATACAGGAGCCGGGAGACCCACTAAGTGCTTCCAGGAAATGGACCAGACAGGGGTGGGTTATCCAGTAAGCAAGGTTAGCATGGTTTGCTTGTGCTTTGTAAATAATTCATTGTGAACAGTTTAGCATGTCTTTTTTAAAATCACATTATTTACTAAGTACACATTCCCTGTCAGGGACTCTACACTAGCAAAAAAGTCTTTGATTCTGACAGACAGTGCTTTGCAATTGGAAGAGGGACAGATGTCAGCCAGTCCTAGAAGCAGAATCTTTGATGTGGTGGGAAAAATGTTGACGTATTCACCACAGGTTACCAAGTAAGCACAAATCAGCCCGTGCTTGCCTCGCTTCTTAGGTAATCGGACACTGACCTGAATTTTCAGTGTCCCAATCCCAAACCAGCCCACTCAGGATGTCCTAGCAACAGCCTCAACTCCTGTCACCTTAACACCCAACTCCTTCACTGACTCCCACTACCTTAACACACCGGACTCCTTGTTCAGCTGCTATTCAAAGTGCGATGAAATGGGGGAAGAGTTAGGGGGAGGAAGGTCCTCGAATGAGTTCCGGGGGGGAGCTGGTGCAGCATCCTCCCTCTCAGAAAAATGTGTCCCCTCATATCAACAACTCAACCCACCTCCTATCAACCCTCCATTGGGTTCCTGAGGCTGTCAGTCCGAATTGGAGGTGACAGCCCATCTTTCCCCCTCAGCCCCTCATATGCATTACCCTCAACAGAATTCCCTGCTCTAGCAGGCCTGTTCAATCACAAAGGCTCCCCACCACAAAAGCTCAAAGAGGAGGAGGCTGTCACTGCCGGAGCTGGAGCAGGGGACCCCTACAACAGTCCACTGAGGTGGAGGGCAGACACCCTGGAGCTGCCACTCAGATGGGGCGGGGAGCACTAGAGGGAAAGAACACGATGAGGAGAAGGGACAACAAAGGTGTTGGGATTTCTTTAAAAAAAAAATCCAGGGGAGGGCCAGCAGAATTAGGGACCAAACACTGAGGCTGGGCCCTCTGTGGAAGGCAGAAAGGGTCTCTGGGGAGGTGAGGGTGATTTGCTACAGGACCCCATCTTCCTCCCAGCTTTCCGGGGAGTAGGAGATGTCAGGAGGGTGTTAAGCCCCTAGCCCTGTTATTAGGTTGTGCCATTTCAGGCTTACCCTTACTTACAGTAAGGGAACCCCAAAGTCTCTTCTGACGCTTCACTCTGCTGGGCCTCTTAAAAGTGCTATTTACTTCTTAAATAGTACAGGATTCAGGCCCAAGAATCCAGGAGAGGGGTGGAATCTTTAAAAGCCCATGAGACATTGGGCAGAGGGTGCTATGCCCCTCCAGAAAGTTCACCCTCAGCTGGTGAGGGTGGAGGAGAAGCAGCTGGCATGGAGCCAATCACCCCTGACCTCCAGGAAAGAGGACATGAAGAGCATTGGATGAGGAGGTTTTAAATAAAGGTGTGTATAATAAAAAATAGCCAGCTCTCTGATGAACCTACTGTTCTACCACCTACTTATTTTTTTCTTAAATAATCCTAAGGTCAGAGGCTGGCAAAGTAGGATGAGGAGCAGGGTATATACATGAGGGGGAAGTTTAAATTAAATTAGTAATAATTAAGATCCAAACTGAAGCACTAAGTCAGAGGACATGGAAGGGGTCTTTGGGGACCCCTGCTTCCAGCATCGTCATCCTCCAGTGGGTGAGTTACGGCTTTCTCTTGCAGAAGACAAGACGGCGTTTGGAATGGTAGAAATCTGGGGAGAGAAAGCAGAGGTCAGAGTAGCCAAGGGAGGTGGGTGTAGAATGGAGCCACCCAACCAGGGCAAACCGAGAAGGGTCACTGGCAGCACAGGGGAGAACTGTGGAAACTTTCATTCGGCCTCCCATGGGGGACTTAAATCCAATGTAAACAAAATTTAAAAATCAGTTCCTCAGCCACCCTGTTTCTGTTGCTGCATGCCAGTGGAATTCCAGGTTATAGTGACTCCACACGACAGAGCAGAACTGCCTCATGGAGTTTCCTTGACCACAATCTTTATGGGTGCAGATTTTAGGTCTTTTCTCCTGCTTCTGCCATTAAATCAACTCCAACCCATGGGGCCCACGTATGTCAGAGTACAACCGTGTAGGGTTTTCAAGGGCTAACTTTTCAGGGTAGATCACCAGGCCTTTCTTCTGAGTCACCAATGGGTAGATGCAAACTCTCAATCTTTCAATTAACAAACAAGAGCATTAGCTATGACCACTAAGGGACTCTGGCATATAAGCCCCCATTAAAGGTTAACTAGTTGCTCATAACTTGCTTTGTGACCTCAGGTAAATCACTTCTCCTCTCTAGACTTGTTTCCCTCTCAGCCTGGACCAAATGGAGTTGCTTTTTGGGTTGCTAGTATGGCATTCCCTAAAGTACCCTCTTTTCCACACCTATTCTCACCTGTCATGCTGGTTTGTCCCCGCTTCCGGCCCCGAGGGGCACTTGGCCCACCTGGGGACACTTCAGGGCGCTCAGCGGAATGAGGCATGAGGGTGCAGGACAGTGACAGATCGACATGGTCCCCCTGGGTCACTCCTTGAAGTAAAACAGTTGAGGTGCTGGGCCGCTTGCTTCCGCCCAGGTCATCACGGGCCCCCCGAGGCCCTGTGGGCAAGTAGAACTTCGGCAGGCCAAGGTCCTGCACCCGCTCCCAGGCATAGTTGCCTTCCAGCGGTGTTTCGGTGACAAAGTCGAAGTTCCACCGCTCACGAGCCTCTTGCAGGCAGCTGGCCATCAGCGCATCGCAGTCTCGGCGCACCTGCTCATCGTCCACAGGGCCGAAGAGGCGGCGGCAGACTTTGCTGCTGCATGGAATCTGACGGGTGTCCCTTGATGGCTCCGACATAGTGCCTGTGGCTGAGACACAAGAATGGCCCAGGTCACTCGGGAAACTGGACCCTCTCTTACCCAGTCATGCTATGCTGTGACCTCAGGAAGAAACGGCCAGCTCAGGGCTTTCCTTGCCTCTCCCCATCCCCAAGGCCAGGTAAGACGGTGTGTCTGGTTTCTTCCAGCTAACTTTCCACTACTTCCCTCTACAGACCCAAGACCCATTGAAGGGAACTAGGTAAGCCCAGGACCCCGCCAACCTGGCGTCGCCAAGGTCACTGATAGGCAGACTTATGTCAACAAAGACAGGTTTATTGCAATAGCAGTGATCAGAGTCCTGTTTGCCACTAGGTATTATCATCTAAAATCAGTTTGTTATCACCCTCCTGAGGTGTCCTCAGCAAGTGTGAATGCCCTCAAAAACGTGTGAATTGCCTGAGTCCAGCCGTTTGCCAATCCAGCCAAGGGGTCAATGCCCAATGAAGCAACATGCTGACAGCTCCTCCTGCCACCAGATATGTGAGGTAAACCAGCAACTCAGAAGTACCCTAGAAAGGTTTGAGCTCTAGTTCTGGCTCAGCCAATTACTTCCTAAAACTTTAACAAGCCACTTAATATCTCTGGGCCTCAGTTTCTTCATCTGCAAACTGGGGGCCACATGAAAATTCAGAGTGTGGTTGTGGAAGCATGCTCAGGCAACTGACTGATGAGTCAGCCCAGAGGAGTCAGAGGAACAGGGTTGAGAAACTCTCTTCATGGTCAAGAGCGAGGAGTTTTGGAGACAGATTGTCTGAGTTGGAATCCAGGCTCTGCTGGGCGACCTTGAACAAGTTATTTAACCTTAACCTCTGTGGGCTTTTGTTTCTTTACCTATAAAACTGGGAAAATCATTGTGAATATCTAAGAGAATAAGTGTGAAAATTAACTGAATGAATGCTTAGAACCATACCTGGTACACAGAAGTGCTTGGAAAATAGAAAGCATTTTATCTCTTTTCCTTCAATTCTGACTGAACCTCCTGTTTCTCACCACCCTCCATCTTTTACACACACACACACACACACACACACACACCCCTATCCAGTCCTTCACACAGCAGCTGACAGGTGCTGGGGGCCCAGGGTCTTTCCCAAGAATGTCCTCAGGATGGCCTGGGGCTGTGGAGGGGTGGGGCAGGGCGCAGCCGTGGGGACTGGGCTGAGCCACATCCTGCCAGGCACATCAGGTGATCTGGAGTCTAGACACCTCAGAAACCCATTTTTTCAGGAAGAGAAAATCAAAGTGCAGAATTCCCACTTCCGGAGCAGGAACACGAAAGGTAAGTTTGCCCATGAGAGGAGCCCTTACTGGATTCATAGAAGTGGGTATGAAGGTTCAGAGTGGTTAAGTAACGTACCCAAGGTCACATATTATACAAGTAGAACTGACTCTAATTTGAATCCAGGCCCATCCTTCTCGAGTTTTGTATTCTCAGTCCTTACACCCTCCTCCTCCTATAATTTTGAGCTTTCTTAACCAGATATGTCCATCAGAAGGGAGGGGGGATGTCAAAATGTGCATTAGTGATCTCCTTCTCCAGACCATCTTAATCAAAACTGAAGGGGACTCAAGCTCCTTCTGAGGGGCTCTCTTCAAGGGGGGACAGGAGGGCTGAAGTGGGAATTCTGGGTCTCCATGCTCCACTGGCATAGGAGGAACGTGCTTTATGAGGGAGCTGGATAGTCCTAGGCTTCAAGAAGTTTATTTCTCTGCACTGCAATACCAGAGGCACATGGTTCAAATCCACCAGATGCTCTGCTGCAGGAGGGGGACTCTCCTCCTGTACCAGTCAGATCCAATTTGACAGTATACACACGCAAAATAATGAAATAAAAATTTTAAAAAAAGTTTCTTTCTCCCCTTCTATTATTTCTTCTCTGGTGGCTCTCAAGGTGCTCCCTCCCCATCAAAATCTGCTCATCTGGGGTGTTCTGGTGGCCTAGTAGCAAGAAGCTTTACTGCAATCCTGAAGGTTCCTGGTTCTAATCTACCAGATGCTCTGCTGGAGAAGGAGGGGCAACTTTCTCCTGTGCCAGTTGGATCCAATTCGATGGCACACAAGAAGAAAATAAATAAATAAATAATTTTTTTAAAAAAATCTGCTCATTTAAAAAAAATACTCAATAACCCCCCCAAAAAAGAAACCAAACCAAAACACACACACACACACACACACACACACACCCAAAAAAAACCCAAAAAACAAGTATAAACCCAGGTTTTAATAACAAGAGTAGTTTCCCTGGTGACCTGATAGGGGGGCACTTGAGGCGCATTTTAATCCCCAGGTAAACAGCGCTCGGTAAATTCTGTTAAACAAATGGGCTGTTTTTTTAAAGGCGTTGTGGCAAGGGCGGCCCTGGGTCCGGCCTGCAGAGGCGGCGGGAAGGAAAGGCGGGCGAAGCCTGACCCGGCAGGACGACGCGCGCGCTGTTCTCTCCATGGCCGGCAGGGGGCGCCGATCTCCAGGAAATCACGCGCCGGGTGGGAGGTGCGTGGGCACAGCCTTGCAGAGCAGGCGGGATAAGTTGTGATGAGTCAGTTTCCTGCAAAGCGCTCGCCACCAGCCAAAACTCCGCTTCCACTACTGCTGCGCGTCACCCGGAGTAGGGAAGGACGAGAGTCCGGAAAGGGGGGCCGGGGGCTCGAACACGTCACGCTCAGCGGGCCTGGCTTCCGAAACTTCCACCGCTGTTGGGAAACCGCGCTCTCGCGCCCATCTCTGTCACACACACATACGCGCGCGCAAAGGCGCGCAGAGATCTGGCCTCCCCACCTTATCTCCACGCCCAAAGCAAGGGATGAGTCAGATCCATGGAAAATAAAAATAGCCGGGAATAAGGAAAACAAAACCGCTCAAAATCCTCCTTGAAACATAACTTGGAGGGAGGGAGGGAGGGAGAGAGGAAACTGCCCTGGAGCCTCAAAGTGTCAAACCCAAAATTAATACTCTACCGCACGCAAAAGGCGCAAATGTCCACCAGGCGCCCAGAATAGCTACCCAAATGCCTCTAATTGGCATTTTTCACTGCCAGTGAGCCTGCGTCCCACAGTGACTTGCCCTCCTGATCCATTCTTTTCCACCTTCTATGAGGGAGTTTGGGGATATGGCAGGGGCGTCCCGAGGCCCCCTATGCGGCCGACACTGGCTGTGAACAGCATCCGCATCCCCAGAAGTCTCATCTCGCAAAGATGTATCCCCTTCCGCCCCCCACCTTGAGAGGCCCAGCTCAGCTCCGGAGTCCAGGTGCTGCGCGAGGTTCCAAGGCCGCGGTGGGAAGGGCTGGATGAGACCCCTGCAATTCTCGAATCACAACCCGCCCAAATGGAACCGTGGCTCCTTGTTTCCTAGGGCGCGCCAAGGGGCGGGGGCCAGACACCAGATCCTGGACCTCTCAATGCCCCGGCTTCCCTGGGAACACACTGTGCCAGCCAAGTAGGTCACTATGCTGATGGGCTTGAGATCACGAAGAGGCGGGGGGTTTCTGGGGAGCCACTACCCCCCTTACTCGGGCGGGGTTCTGATCTCACCCAGCCCGCTCCCTGGGGTCTCTGTCGCCATGAGTCACCTCCTAACTTGCTTTTAAGGGACTTGTCTTGACACGTTCTCAAGAGCCAGGGACACAGCCCTCGCTGACCTCAGAGCCAAACGGGTGGTGGACACAGAAACGCCGTGGATCTAGACCTCAAGGTCCTGGGTCCAAACGGGCTCCAATTGGATCAGAAAGCCAGAGAGTGATTCTGGGATGAGCCCAGTTGAACCTGCTCCTCGTTCCTGGGGCGCCCCCCTACCCGCCTCGCCCCCCTGCGGCTGGGGCCTCCTCCCCACGCCCCTAGCAAGTGGCGCCAGGGCTCCGCCAGCGCTCCGCGACCGCCAGAAGCTGGGAGGGCGGCCCCACCCACGCCTTCCCGAGTTTCTAGGAGAGGGACGCGCGTCAAGGGATCCCCTATACTCATACTTCCCCTCATCTCGAGTCTCCGATACATCCCGACCCCTAGTAACTGGCGCGCGCCAAGCCAGAGCATAGCCCTACTCGATCATTCACCTGCCGCACAAACAACGGTGAACGCAGCACACGCGCCCACACACTCGTGCAAATTCACACACGTACACAGACAGGCAGAGCTCCAAGTCGCCGACCCAGGGTTTGCTCTTGCCTGCCGCGCCTCCCTCACCTCCTCTGGGTGTCTCGGTGTCTGCCTGTGAATCCTCGTCCAGCTCCAGGTTCCCAAACCACAGCCCCGGCCAGCTACTCGCGTCTGGGCGATCGCTGTGGTGCAGAGCCTTGATATAGGCGGCTCTGCGCGCTCCGCCCACTGCGCCTCCCTGGCCGCCCTCCCCCGGGGCCCGGGCGGCTCCAAGCCCGCCCGCGTCTGGGCGGGTTCCTGGCCCTAGACTGCAGGAGAAGTCTCAGAAAATCGGAGAGCTATAGGTGGCGCTTCCTTTCGCGCGCCTGGATTTGCACAATCTACACATTTCTCCACGAACTGAGCCATAAATCCGGTTGTTTCCAGTTAGGGAGTGAGTGAGTTTTGAGCAGGAGGTGGACGGCATGGTTAGAATGAACCTCCTGCCTTTCCGGACTCCGCACGACTGAAAAGATGATGAGCGGTGGCATTAATAAATAATAATTCATGAATAATATACGGACACCACTTTGCCGTCCACAGAAAAGCCCCATTAAAAAGTCCCATTCTCCCACCAGGGGAGCTGTAAGGCGGTTAATGGTTAAGGAGTTGCAGTGCCAAACCAAAAGTGCACGGTTCTATCCACCAGCTGCTACGCGGGAGAAGGAGGGACCCACTCCCATGGGATTTCCTGCCCTACGAACACCGGCTGGAGGGTCAGCTGTGAGAACACAATTCAATGGTGGTAGTGGTCGTCGTGTACCGTAGGGTCGGAATTAACTCATAGATGACTCTGGTGAGTTTTCAGAGGCAGTAAAACGTCCAGGAGGAGATTGTCCATCCTTCTCCCGC